TATATAAACATAAACAAATAAGTAAATGATAGAGAAACAGTGTCTCAATTTAGGAACAAATAATGTTATAAACGTAGCATAGCCCTTCAACGAGAAAGTTTCTTAACAGTTGTAGGTAAAAATGGAATCTATGATTCAATGAAAATTCCAAACCCATAATTTTAGCAATATAGTTACAATTTATCGACAATCGATTATTATGTCAGATCTATTTTGTAAGTAGATTTGATTGGATAGTTTGGTTGCAGCTTCTTATATATAAGCCTACAATTATTCTCCATTAATAACAATTTTGACTGCGGTAACTCAACAAAATTGGAAATTACAACCATTTTACTAGATAATAGAATTACTTGTACAAGATTTGTAAAAATAAATAAAAAATACAAATAAACGATGCCTGGCGGAAAGAGTGGAAAATCCTGCCAACAGCATAGCGCTAAACACCACGGTGGGCAGCATCAAGGCCAGAATTGCGCTAAACACCACGGTGGGCAGCATCAACACACCAAGGCTAACAAAATCTTAAGAAATCATGCGCCGTCCTATTATCACCAATCGAAAGCACCAAACAATCAAGGCAACTATTAATCGACTTATCTGAGGTAAGAACTAAGTTTATAAAATACTATAAATAAGCTACATATAATATTTTTATGTCAGTACAGTGTCCTTTTATCTTGAAAATACGTTATGTTATTTATCGAAAATAACGACAACAAAAACAAACTTTATTCAAAATCATTAGTTGTCAAAGTCTTCAAAACTTTTTAGCAATCGGAATGCACACAGAGAATGATTTCGTCTGAACATAAATGTTAATAAAATGTGATAGAGCTGAAGAAGATTAACTATAATCAAGGAATTAGAATACAATCATCAACATTTAAAGTATTTGAAACACTACTCTGCATAAATAGGCCTTTAGATAATTTAATAACGATTCGTACATGTACGCGTGGAGTTTAATAGTCGTAGTGGAGTTGAGCTTGGTGGTGGTTAAGATGTTTACCTTCCAATCCCAAGGTCCTTGGCTCAATTCTTGTCAGTGTTACAGGATTTTTTTTCTCACGAACAAAACAAACTCCACTCCACTCCCTAAAACTCATATTGAGACTTAGTTTGTGTAAGTAAAGCATCATGTGTGTATGCTAGTTTTGAGAAAGGGATTGTGACCTACAAGTTGGACAGTGATATAATTCACAATTGGCAATCTTTGTGCATGTGTTGCGTGCATAAATAAATACACATACTTTTCCACTCTCGTATTTTTTCTGTCTGCTTGGCTCTGGCACAGCTATGAGCGCACCATGCAGATGCCAGTGCCTTATAATAAATGTCCATTATTATTAAATAAATTCATTGGTCATAAATGGTAATTGTAGATATATATTTTAATATTGTATTTTCTCGTTTCGTTTACTGCTTAGGTCTACGATGTCTCCGGATAGACAAATATTTATTGTGCAACCAAACTGACGTAAAAGCAGAAGCCAACAATGCCCAAAAGATACAGTGGAATCTGCAACCGTATCACATTTATGAACTGACAAACTTTTGGACACATACCCTTCTTGACCTTGATTAACTGGGCAACACGCATTTTAAAGAATTACGTAAAGTGTTATGAACACCTTTTATCATCCAGTATATTGTTACTATTGTTTAATAACACATACACCATAGGCATTGTATAACTTTGTGCTAAGTTAAAGGACGCTGTAAGAGTTACAATAGTATCAGCAGCGGTAAGCTGAACTTCACTATGAGGTATCCACTATCAGCATATTGTGGCTGGGATTAAAGCTGGTCTTCGACATAATCTACCTTAATACTATTATTCATTTGGTGGACAAATTTGATACAATATTTGAATTTACTCTAATTAAGTTTAAACGCATGTTGAGTATTTTAAATATTAGTTTAATAAACGCATCGACTTAAGTTTAAATTTACTGATTTTAGCTACAAAATGTATACGCTTTAATAAAGTATCTGCAGTAGAGCCTTGATCAGATGTACTATCAGTAAAAAAGAAAGGAAATTACCTGAAGAAATTAAATAGAATGTTGAATAGCTCATTTGCCAAGATTAAATAAATTATTAGCTTTCAACGAGAAACCGATCAAAAAAAAAATAACAGACATTTTGCTACACAAATCCTTAGCTTTTTAACATGGAAGTTATTTTTAAATTGTCCGAAAATTAACGGAAATTGTTTTTCCTTATTCAAATTTTTCATTTGAAGTTAATAGCTTACTTCAATATACAAATTAAGCAATTCAAAAATCAGAAATTAAAATTTATATTTTTTAGATCATGACTGATAGTACACATTTAGCTACACCTCTTTAAATAGCATATTGAGATTAATCCCGAGTTTTTCTTTGTAATTTTAGTCATTTTATATCTATTATTGTTTATTTGCTTTGTACTATAAATATCAAATATTTAAATTTTCTATAATTCTCAAACTCCTTTATATGCATTATGGTATTATAGAACATTAAGAATGAAATAATGATCTAAATTATCGTTACACCTTTTTATGTTTATCCACAAGAAATATATTCTATGAAATTGAAATATAAGAATTATGGTTGAGATATAAATATATAGACATTTTAGAATCCAGTATCACTTCATATAACGCTATAATTCTACATATGAATGTGTGGGGTGGGGAGAGGAAGCAATGGATTATATATGCGAATTAAAATGATATCTATAAATAATTGGCTTATTGATAATAATTTAACGTTACATTTAGGCAAAACAGAATTTATATTATATGGTACACGAAATATGTGTTGGAAACAATCAAAACTGGATATTACCTTTAATAATTTCAATATTTTGATTTTGCAAATTAGGATATTACAGTATACACGTTGTTGTAGGAGAATTAATCTATTATATACTACTATAGGCGAACGAATAAAAATGTAAAAATCCAATCGTTAATAAGCCACTGATCTGTTTTATGCTTTTTACTTGTTTATATATAAATATGAAGGAAACCGTTTTCTTTTATTACGTTAAGTTGGAAATATACTGTATAGATATTGAAATATGAGACTCAAAAAATTTGTAAGACAATTGATGTGACTTCAATAATTTGTATCACCCAACGTTACATGATGTGGGCAACGAATGAGGAAAATGACAAGATAAGAAGAAGCAAAGTAATAGGTAACAATTAGAGAAAACACGAAATTTCACATGACGGTGAAAGCTAAAAAGTGGCAGAAAGTTGTGAACAGGCAGTTTAGTTGCTTATATTGATGGCAAATTGATGTTTCCTTATTGTATTACATCAGGATAATTCTATACAAAGGTATGAATCACGTGAGGGATTGGGACGGATAAAATGTACTTAAACAGTATTTTCAATGATATCTGTTTTGGCTAGTCAGGTGCACATAACATAAACATACTCTCCAATTACTGCGACTTACCATACAAAAAATAAACTCTTTTCAATGAGTGTCAATTTTGTCATAAAGCGTTAATTTATGTCAATGACACAAAATGTCCTCCCTTGAGAATGGTTAATATAAATAATAATAATAATACATGTTGGTGATGACAAAAAGATATTCTATCTTCATGGTTAAAATCGAAGTGGGGAATTTGAAGAAGGGGAATTTGAAGAGGGGAACAGGTTCTTCCAAAAATGGTGTCCATTTATATTCAGCAAAGATTCATCGGTATAATTTATTACATCTGATTTTCTTATACCACCATAAATTAAATCTTTATAGAAATCCTTTTTAACTGTTATTTTTTACTGTTAGTCTTATGAATTTTACAACGAAAATGAAGTCCAAGATAATGTAATGTGTAAACTATAATGTAGACACCATGCTTTGGTAATTTGATGAAATGTGTATTCCAAATTCCACACCCATGCTTTTAGCAAAATCATCAAATCAATTTGACTAGATTAAACATTAAATCAATTTGACTAGACTAAATTAATAAATGAAAATTAAACGCGTCACTCAGAATACTCTAGAATCCTTTCCAATAACAATTAAATGACATAACATATTCTGACCAATCACCGACCCCAGTACTAAAATCAATTTGAATGTCAGATCTATTTTGCCGAAATACTCTAAATCGGTTTGATTGGCTAGTTTATGCAGTATTAACTACAGCCTAAGTTCGTAGTAACACGTACTATTATACGCAATTTTCATACACTATTTGTAAAAATAAAATAAAAAAATGAGCAGTTGGAATAGTGGACAATCTACAAACTATGGTGGTACAGGCTATGGTGGACAGAGTCAAATCCAGTTTCAACCAACACAGGTTCAACCAACACCGGTTCAACCAACACCGGTTCAACCAACACAGGTTCAACCAACACAGGCTTACAAAATTTTGCGACCGTCCACGACGTCTAACCGTCATGAAGATAGATCTCCAAACACGTCGGGCAATCAATAAGCGACTAATCTAAGGTAAGAATTAAGTTTATAATATGCTACAGATATTAATTTTGTCAGCAAAGTTTTTCTCATCTGGTAAATACATTATACTATTTATCCAAAACAGCCAAGACTATAACAAATTTATTCACAATCTCAATTTTAAAATCACCATACGGTATTTATATTCTTTAAGCCTACATGATTTTATATTTTCTCCTAGAAAATAAAAAATTGAATCGAACTCTATTGAACATCGTGCGGATTTACAAATAAACGCACAGAATAAAGAATTATTTCGTCTGAACATGTTAATGCAGTGTAATAGAATATAAATTTGATTTTTTTAAAGTAAATACTAAAGTGAAGCTTTTATATATAAAATATATTCATTATCGATATTTAGACACAACTAAATATCATATAATAATGTCTGTATCATCAAAGAATTTAGATTCATCAAGCAAAAAAGTTCAGTAAAACGAAATCAAATGGAACAAAACTAATTTAAATTTTGTCTTTGGAAGTGATACATACAGCACCGAAACCTTGAATATAGATACTTGATCAGCAAGTTCAAGCTTTAAAATAGAAAAAAACAAACAAACTGGCTTTTTGCAGTCTAAGTAAAACTGGTGATTTTAACTGTTTTGGATGACTTTTAATGTTTACTGAGCTTAAAAGAGGCACATGACAGCGCAAAAAGTGAAATGGAACGCGACCACGCAACAGTCACGCGTGGCCCACCATATTCTGGAACCTTCTCTTCCTAGAACTGTTGAATGACATAAAATATTCTGACCTTTTTCTCAGCACGCAAACTGCAGAAACCTATATCAACTGGGCAGAATTTCAATTAAATTTATTCAAAATTCAAATGACAGCAAAACAGCTAAATTACATCAAATTTACAATTTAATTACAAATTAAATTTGATTACAATGTCAATAAATCAAAACACAAAATTGCCCGGAATTTAATGTGTCATTTGAAAGAGTCTACTCTTTATATGGTCTAACAGCAACAAGAATTAAATACGTTTTCAAGCAATTCTGTACATTTTTTTAAAAAGACGTAACTTATTTTAAACGGATAACAGTGTTTATGCACAGGAACAAACAGTACTTTTGAGGCCAGTAGGAAGACAGGCCTATTTTCACACTATTTCGTTATGAGAGTATGTATGTAAGAGTCGATATTGTAAATTTCAACGCAGAAATTGCAGAAAATAAAATGCCCCATTAAAAACGGTACCCTCTGTACTAACACCTAGCAGGGACGTAGCCAGGATTTTGAAAGGGGGAGCCGTTATACCAAGCGAAGGTGGGGGTGTTCCCCTTCATACACATCTAGATGTGTATAAGAGACAGTTATCCCCTTAGACTTCTACTAACAAATTTAAGTATTTTCGTAATAAAGGGTCTGTAAATTATTGCTAATTTTAAAATCTAAGAAATATCGTCGATATTTTGATTTTATTTCATGGACATAATACATTGTAGGCCTATGACTTTGTAAAATACATAATAATGTAATGGAGGATTTTGAATATCTCACCTTGGGTTTCACAGAATTCAATACTTTTTGTTTCGTCATAGCAATCTGTAATAAGTAACAAGCGTCCACTGAACGTTAATATATAGGCCTATACAACAAAATAAAATCACGGGGACACAACTGAAAAAAGTTACTCGTTTGAAGGGATATACGATTACGACATGATATGTTTCTATTCGAGCACTGGTATTATATTTATTTGTTATTTTGTGTTTATGGT